ATACTATCTAACCATATAGGTATTAACAATCTATCTTCTAACAATTACGAACAAACGGATTTTCAACGAATCCTTTCACTTGCTGATCATTACTAAAAATGATCGACAGCCGGTGACTTTTGTCAGGGGAGTGTACTAATTATAGTGCATAACATTTGTAAAGAGAAAATATATACGATTGTTAATATAAAATAATATCAATAGTCATGCAAGAAATAACCATCAGGTAATTGATTTTGCTCGATTTCAGGCATAAAATTAAACTGCTAAATTTATTATTGTATTATAGTATCAGGTTATTATCGGAGTGATAATAAAATTGCAAATTATTGAGTCTTTAAATTATGTGTAACTCACGGAGTTATTATGCACTACTGTAATACAATAATATTAAAGGCGCTAAGATTAACAATTTTAGGCTTGCTCATTGTCTACCAACAAAAAACCCACAAGTACAAATTTAATAATGGGTTTCGGGAAATTCGGAGTTTAGAACCGGAGTTTCTGAACACCATTTAAAAGTGAGTAGTATAATAGCATACGTACCTCGATAGATTTAAAAGGCCTCATCTTTGAACGCTTTTACAGTGAAGTGTTTACTTAGATACCTATAAAGTTTAAAATTCAACAAATGTCTTTTATCCATTAAATATTTAAGCCATCACCAAAAATATGTAATTGCAATTCTCATTACGTTCATATGTACATTTACAAAGTATTGAGCTTCCATATATTCTATTCCGTGAGCAAACGAAGTTGAAATTATAATTTTTCTATTTACTGTATCTATATTAATAAATCAAAATAAGATTTTCTTAGTAAAATGTCTTTAATTGCTTGCGTATACCAAATAATGATTAAGTATGTAGTTTTACCATTTATTGGGATCTCTAAAGTTTTCTCCGTGTCCTGCGAATGAGTTACCACCATAATATCTATTGAAATCACATCATTTAAGAATTGTATTATTTAATAGCTAAAATATTTGTACACTCTACCCTCGTCATAACGGACTCCGACGTAACGGATACCTTATTATAACTGAATGATTTTCCAAACCAATTAAAAATTATTATTATTGCATTATATAACATTATAACGGATATTAATTTATTATGGATATAATCTTTCAGCCCGAAGGGTCCGTTATAACGAGGGTGGAGTATATTGTAATAATTTATCTTATTCAGCGTAGATCATAAAATTCTTTGTTCAAATAATTTAATCTGCAATATTTCCATTTAGGCTAGTAAACTATTTAGAGAGCTTTAAACTCAGTCAGTAAATGTATCTTATTCAGAAAAATGTTTCATCTTTTTTTTTTTTTGAAAGAATGGCAATGATTGATAACAATAATTTTCACAAAAATTCATTATAGACCCATAAATAGATATTGCCAAGAGAATACCTATGAATACAAACTTAAATTTCACTGTACCTGACTTTTGAAAATTGCAATTTAATCATTACACGATCAGTGTTCTGGTACATAATTACAATGCAAGTGCATTTCAAATACTGTGAAGAAGATTAGAACACTGAACATGGTCTGCTTCAATTATGTAATTTATAGCTTTAAATCCGGTACAACGAAATTTAAATTTGTACTTATAGGTTTTCTCCGAGAAACACCAAATGATTTTATCCGGCAGTTGGTTATTAACCCGTCAAAATAAGCTTATTATTCGGCAAAAAAAATTGTATGTAACTGCTTTAATCAATCATCTTTGCAGGATAATAATTATTTGACAGTGAACTATAAATCCGGATAAATTCGTTGTAAGTCATGCTGCTAATGTTTCATAACTTATTTGGTCAAGGGATTAAGATCAATTCCATATAATGATCTTAAATGTTTGACCAAATTAATCGATTACCGGGCAGTGCTTGCTTTATAGCTATTTATACATATCAAAATTTTTTAAAAAATTAATTATATAATTATATTTAGAAGTCGCTTTTTTTATATTACCTTGTAAACTTTAAAACTTTCTTATAGTGATTGGATATGCTAACTATATTTGAAAATCCGGAATTAAAACCGCGCCTGTACATTATTGTCGGTCACTTTGTTTGTACATAAGGGGTAATATAGAAATTCCGAAGCTTAGGCAGTTGAATAAAAATAATATTCTATTGTACGTCGACGAATAATAAATAGTGTGCAAAAAGAAGTACTGTGTGGAAATGACTGAAAATGACAAAAGAATGTTCGATTAATAATTACTTTCAAAATATATAAACAAATTTTTTTTAAAAAAAATTCTTTAAACCCTTAGCCATTTTAACTTAATGGATTTTGATACGAATTTTACATTTACATTCTTTGAAAAAAAGACATATATTAAAAGCATCTTAAAAAATGGCAAATAATCAAATTTCTAATATTGCAAGTCAGATCTTTAACACAAATGACTTACATATATTGGATCCTTTGAACGTACATATATTTGCGTCACATTGGAATAAGCCTAGAACTCTATCTGGATATGATGCTCTAGAGCTTAAAATTACTCAAATTTGCAACACACTTCTTATCTTCGATATTGAAACTATTGAGAAGGTTTCACTTCACATTTGGGAACATTTTACTACCCCTGCGGAACGAGACGTTCACACAAATATTGCTTTCCGCGTAAACGAATACAGAAAACAAAACCCTCTTACTTTTGGACCACCAGCTCCAGGTCTCATGAGGTATCATGGTATTGAACCGAAAGTTCCCGTTAACCTTCCACTGAAACCTATGAAACACACGGATCAATCAGACACACTCTACCACGGCTGTGACTTTCCGGAGTCTGAACAACTAGATTCTTGCTTTTTTTTAAATTAACTATCTAAAATTAAAATCAAGTACCTTAGGCGGATAAATTCTTGTCGTTTTCTTAGTTTCTCAAAGATAAATGGCATGCAATTCTATTTCGATGCATAATACTCAAGTATATAATATAATCTACACTTTCCTTTGTTGCTCATGAACTTGTACACTTACCTTTAACAAACATGGTCCATATATAATCAAATAATATTTGCCACCATCAGGTATGTTGTATATCAAATATTTTAAATTACGGATACCTTTTATAAATGTTACTTATATCTATCCATCAACAATATACTGTATAAAGTTTAGGAAGATGGTCCATGATTCAAGAATTATTACAAATTCATTTTGACTGTTTAAATTGTCAAATATTATTCACCCGTAGTAAACCTTAGAAAATTGTCGCTAAATATAATCTTTTATAATGACTTTGTAAATAGTTTATTTTTTAAACATCAAGATGAATTTGTAAATTTGTATTTTTTTTTTTTATTGTATTTTTATTTATTATTTTTTTTTTACTGTTTTTTTTTTTTTTTTTACTTTTTTTTATTTTTTTTTTCTTTTTTTTTTTTTTTTTTTTTTTTTTTTTTTTTTTTTTTTTTTTTTTTTTTTTTTTTTTTTTTTTT